ACCAAAAGCAGAACAACGGTAACAAGAAAATAGATTGATGCGTAAATTTGTTTTTGGGACTACCACGTCACCACCGACACAACAGCAAAGCGTGGACATATTACGCATTTGAAGGACAGTCAGAATTCTTGACGCAAGCACGTAGGATTTCATGGCAAGTTTGTAGGAGATGTTGGGTAGAATTTCGCTGGAGAGAACAGCAATATGCGTGGCAGGACCTCGGCGAAAAGCGAGACTTGACCCAAGACTGACGTTTTCCGACTAGATCTCAGAGAAAAATAGTCAAAGGCATCACTCAGCAAAGAAGCGAGGTTGACCCAGAAACTAAATTCCCGACTAGATCGTAGAGGACAGCAATAAGAGCCAGTACTCAGCATGACGCGGAGCAAGATCCACCAAATGCGTTCCTCCGAAGAGATCACTCAAGACCATTTCAGTGGCAGCACACGAACTTTGTAGTTACACGGCGTGAGCCGAAGAAAAATTTTGGATGTCTAACTGTATTTTGTTTTGTTTTGGTACAGCAGTGCAGAACCGGGGGGAGTGTTGCATGGAATGAATGTGATTCTCCTCCGGAGTGCTGTTTTATAAGGAACTGATTGTGCCACCATCTTCCCTTCCGAACGCGCGACCTGCCCTCCACCGCTGCCGAGTCAATCCTTCTGGAGCGACAATTGTGGTCTCCCCCAACGAAGGCGGACGATTTGCTGACGATGCTCCAGCCGCGGCCAGCCGGACGAAGAGCACAGAAGGCGACCGCGGCGGAGGCGAGCGAAAATCCGCGGGGGAGAAACAATGGCAGGGGCAGTGGTCCAATGCGCTGGGGTTTATGGGTGGAAAAGTAGGCGCATTGAGATTCATTTTGAGTTTGATTTAGTTTGAGATTTGGCGTTTGTTTTGTTTGATATAAGCTTGGGTTTGGTTTTTCAGATCTGATTGAAGTGTGGATGAGAGGATCAGAAGTACTGTTTTGATTTTCGGCACCTCTCGTATTGTTTTTCGGCTTGACTCTGACCACTTCACAAAGCAGGGCAGGGGGTGGATCCTCGGAGCAGGGGGGCACGTTATATTCTTTCAAACGAAATGGCGTTGCTGACATTTCTTCACCGAACATTAATGATAAATTTTGAGTGTTTCAGGGAGAAAATACTTCTTCGCGTTTTACCTGCGGACGAAGGTTTGGTGGATGAATGGAATAATTTGTCTTAGGATTGCATACATCTTGGTAATGGTAGGATATCTAGCTAGGCGGATTTAGAGACGCACTGAGATATTGCGACGAATTGGCGGTGAAAGGAAAGGCGTCTTGAACGGCGTCACATCTTCTGGATGAAAAGAGTTTGAGTTGAGAATTTTCAGAAGAGAGCGAGAGTGATTGGCGTGTGTTGGTATGCTATTTGGATACTTTTGTCGTGTCTGAAGTATTTTCGTTTTCTTGGTTTTGATTGTGTTTCGAGAAGGACTGGTATGAGAAGGATGACAATGATATTTTCCCGGAGCATGACGATGCATACAAGCAGGGGGGCTATTCGATATACTCGTAGCATAGCATGCGGGTGGTATATTGCGTATGCATATTATGCGGGTATTGCAGTGACGAACTACGTAGGAACAAGAAGTTTCTCTACGTTTTCCTTGGGAGTGAGGTAGATTGGTGGGGATTCATGAGGATTCGTTTTGGGTGTTTGAGCGTTATGCGTGACTTGATGCCGTGATGGAATGACGAGCTCAAGCACGCCCCTGATTAATACAACACGGATACAACACGTTTTCCCACACGTCTGTACGACTTTACCTACCCCTACGGCCCGTCATGGCCGAGCTGCTTTAAACTCCCATCACACACAACTGAGCCACCCGAATTATCGATCAGATGCTTTGAGTGAGGAAACACACAAACTGAAACCTGACAGGTGATTTGTATTGGAGATTGCCGGACACCTCGACGTGTTGAGTGAGGATAGCTGCATACTGAAACCTGACAGATGGATTGGTTTTCGAGTTTGCCAGACATATAGACGCTTTGAGTGGAGATAGCTACATACTGAAACCTCACGAGTTGAGTGATGTTGGATAGTGCCAGACACATACACAGACGCTTTGAGCGAGGAAAGGTGCATACTGAGACCTGACGGGTTGAGTGACGTTTGCGACTGCCGGACACATAGACGCATTGAGTGACGAAAGCTGCATACTGAAACTTCACAGGTTGATTTGTATTGGAGATTGCCGGACATTTAGACGCGTTGAGTAAGGATAGCTGTATACTGAAAATCCACAGTAGCTATTGTGAGGGGACAATTCAAGGATGCAGTACACATAGACCCCCAACCAGTACCCGAACTCCCCTTAAAAATAGAGGCCATGCGCCCCCCCCCCTCTCTACCTCCCCCAGAGGATGAGGANTGAGGGGACAATTTGAGGATGCAGTACACATTGAACCGACCCCCAACCAGTACCCGAACTCCCCTTAAAAATAGAGGCCATGCGCCCCCCCCCCTCTCTACCTCCCCCAGAGGATGAGGAGGGTACAGTCCAAAGTAAGCACAATCTTTCCTAAGCTTAATGCCTATTGGTACGGCATTAAAATACTTCTCAAGTCCCCCATTGGGCGGTGGAGGACTTAGAGCTAAGACACCCCAAAACTCTCCGGCGTGAGATCCAAAATGGATCGGACGGTGGAAGGGGGGGG